CCAAAAGAAGTCCCTGCTGATGACTCTGAAAAGAGAGTGGAGGTGGTGGTGAGTCATCTTCTGCAGAAATGATTAGAAATAAGAAGTTAATGAAAAAAATCCCGTGCTAGGAAATTTCAGGAGTGCCTTTATTTGGAAGAAAAATGAGGCACTCGATAACTTCCCTAGGAAAAGACCGGGGAAGGTCGTTATCACAAGGTAAGGTGCCATTCCTGCCCTGTGCCAGAGACGAAACTCTGCATCACCAGAATTAGAAAGGCGCTTGAAGAAGAGACTCTGGGAGGAGAGAACAGGGGTGGGGGTGGGTGGGGAGAGAGACAGAGGGAAAAAGAGAGAGATGGAAAGACACAGGGAGAGAGAGAAAGAGACCCAGAGAAGGGGCAGAGGCTGTTTGCAATGCGCTGGGAGAACGAACTCCCAGGGCTTGTTTGCTTTTATATTGTTTTCAAATTGTTTAAGCGACCAAGAAAGGAACCAGGCCACAGCACGGCAAAAAGACTGAGTGTCTGGACTAGAGGAGGAATTTGCAGAGCAGCTGAAGCCAGCAGGAGACTGGTGAGCTGGGCTTGGTGTCGCCCAGGGAGTAGTTCCCAGCCCTCTACTTTGGTCACGTGGTCTCTAGCTCTGCCTTCGACCCACACACGTGTGACTTGTGTTTTGCAGCACAGGCCCTCCAGTCCTCTTTGCCTCCTGCACCCCACCTCCTCCCCTAAACCAAGTTCTGTCCTCAGATCCCTGGTGACAGGACGCCATCTCCTGTGGACGAGGCGCTCGTCCCAGGGATGTGAGTCACAGCCACCGCTCTGTGCCGCGGTAGTGTCTGCCTACGCTTCAGCAAGATGACAGTACGGTCAGTTAAGAACCAAGACCTGCAGCCACAACGGAGCATTGTAGACACAGGCATGAGAAAAAACAAGCACAACTTCAGGCTCAGATACGCTAGGAGATCTTTAAATAAACAATTTCAAAATCAAACATAGACAGGGAGTCATCGTTTACAACTAAGCAAAATATGAATGAAAACAGAAGGAAAGTTGTTTAGTTGTATTTATTACTTTCTGGGGGATAAGTAAACAAATTTAAAACAAATTATGGTAGTGAGTACCAGGAGGAATAACTAGAGGCAAAAGGTTTCAATGCATTTCCTTTACGCTGGATTCCCTAAGATGTGATACGGGCTGGATCGAGGTCGGGCAGTTATGCTGGTCGGGATCTGGACATTGTGCATGTTCCTGTTCTCTCATCTGGAAGGGAACGTGCAGCTCCAGCAAACATCAGTGACCCTCAGGCCAGCCACGGCACTCACAGGGCCCTGCTGGAACGGAAATCTAGGACACAACTTCAGTTCAGGTCAGCCCTGGGAACTGGGAGACCCCCATGAGGTTTCTCACTGCCTTTCCAACTGCTTTCCCACCAGAATGAAGGCTCGTTATGCACACTTGGGAAGAACACCAGTCTAGAGTTTAAATGTGCTTTAAGAGTATTCTCATAGTAAATACAGTTAATGCAATCCATGAGCTCTTAGCAGAGGATTTTGACTAAAATTATCAAAAATAACCGTTCATGGAGTAAATTTACTTACTATTTCATTTACACATGACCTTCATTTGTAAAAGCAAGATTCAGATGAGGAAAAAGATATTTGTGAATGTGGCAGTTCAATATGTCACTAAATATAAAAATACCTATTTGTATTTCTTCTCATTTGCACTACAATAAGTATCTGTAATAAAACAGTCACAATGGCAATCAGGTGAGGCTCTGAGATTGCCTGCACCTGACTCTCATCAATAAATGAGGGATCCTCTTTCATATCTCGCCTGATGGTCTCGGTAATCGAGTGAGATAATGTACAGATGTGTCCACTGGAAGCGGCGAAGGAATCACGAATGCCGGCCATGTTGTGCCCACTCTGTCTCCATGAGGCTTGGATCAGTGCAGCAGCCAGGCTGACTGAGGCGAGTGAGGCCCATGCAGCAGGCTGCACCCACCCTGAGCATCCTGCTGCACCGTGTCCCCTGTCATGACACCACAGTGAAGAAACCTGTTTCATACCCTTGTTTTTCAGCAATTATTGACTTGTGAACTGCCTATTTGGGTTTCTGGAACCCCTGAGTTCTATGAAAGTCCGCTTGATAAGCACCAATCCAGGTCATTCTGACCACACCTGNTCATGACACCACAGTGAAGAAACCTGTTTCATACCCTTGTTTTTCAGCAATTATTGACTTGTGAACTGCCTATTTGGGTTTCTGGAACCCCTGAGTTCTATGAAAGTCCGCTTGATAAGCACCAATCCAGGTCATTCTGACCACACCTGGTGGGACCTACAGCACCCAGCCACTTTCCGTGCCCCCGACATTGGTGGAAACTGGCCCGGGTTGGGCACATGAGGCCTGGGCTACCTATTTTGAGTCTTCCAATGCTCCTGAGATCACCCAGTATGAATATCTCAGATTCAAGAATCAATCAACTGATTAATCCATGGGAGCAGATCCCTCATGAATGGATTAATGCCCTCCCTGGGAGAGGGGGATTAATGAATGAGTTCTCGCTCTATTAGTTCCCGTGAGAGCTCACTGCTTAAAAAGACCCCGGCACCTCCCCTCTCTCTCTCTCTTGCTTCCTCTTGCCATGTGATCTGCTTGTACCCACCAGCTGCCTGCTGCTTTTCTGCCATGAGTAGAAGCAGCCTGAGGCCCGTGTCAGATGCAGCCGTCCCAGAATCGTGAGCCAAATAAACCTCTTTCCTTTATAAATTACCCAGTCTCAGGTAGCTCTGTTATAGCAACAGAAAACGGACTAAAACATGAGGACAATGTAGAATATGCCACATATTCTTAAAATACCTGCAATTCAGAAGATGTCAGAGCTAAATCTTTAAAGAAAAAAAAATGAAGGAAAGAAAGAGAATACAAGAGCAGGAATATCAAGATATTTATGGAAATAATAGATTGTGTTGCTTGCTTCCGGCAAATCTGAACAGTGGAGGTCAGGCACTCCCTGTGTCATGTGGCATTTGTGACGTGGATCAATGTGAAGGAAATGGGCCATTGCAGCACTGCTAGTTTTTGCAATAGTGCCATAGCTGTGCAAGACGTGCACATCAGGGAAGCTGAGTGAAGCGTGTGCTGCCTGTGCAACATCTCTGAAAATGTAAAATTATTTCAAAATAAAAAGCTCATTTTAGAAGCTGTACTTAGCAATGAATAGGAAACCTGCAGTATATAATGTCTTCATGTCAAAGATGGAACTTGATTGTGTCCTTTTCATTAATTTTAATTGGCAAAAAGTCCCATCAACACAGTATATAATTTGAATCAAAAATGTTTAGATACTCAAAGCCATCAGGTTTTCTTGTTTGTTAGCCATTCTGACTGTCAGAGTCATAAAAAGTAAAGTTGCTTTAATTGATAAACTTCTAGGCAGGTACCCCCATAACATTTGGTCAGTTTGGGGAGAATAGTGTAGG